AAATTAAGCCTGAACAATGACATGCAATTGTGTTGCTTCTTGTGTGTGTGTGTGTGTGTGTGTGTGTGTGTGTGTGTGTGTGTTCTGTGTGTTGCTTCTTTTGGGGAGAGGCAGATGCCTTCTTGTGTGTGAATTTTGTTTTCTGTGTTCAAAAAACGCATTCCTCAGCTTTCAGTTGCATACCCACTTGTACAAAAAGTGTCTCTTTAAAGAAAATAAGAAAATGAAGCTTAAAAATACATATTAAACTTTATCACTTTTAGATATGTAGAGCATAGTAAACATAAAATATGATTTTGCTTTATATAATATTCACTTAATTGTGGCTGTCCAATATAAATTATTGCAGAGGGTTGTCTTGTCCATACTAATTTGTAAATGCTTATTTTCACATATTTATTTGTGGTAGCCAGTATACCAATAGAGGCCAATATATACAATTTTAAGATGAAAATGGTTCAAAAGAAAAATAATCAGACGCATTACTATCAAGTCACTTCTGACTTATGAACAGATGAGAACTTTCCCATAGGTTCCCAAGGTTGTCATGTTTATGGAAGCAGACTCCTACATCTGTCTCCCAAAGAACCACCCACTGCTGGGCTTGAACCCCTGACATTTTGGTAGCAGCTGAATACTCACTACCAGCACTTCTCATAGGTCTTTTTACAAAATGCAAAAATCCCAAACCAACTGCCCTCAAATCAATTCTGACTCACATCAACCATACAGGACAGAATGGAACTGCGCCCTGCGGTTTCTGAGGCTGTCACCCAGCCCTGGGAAGTCTGTACCTCCTCATCTATTGCCCAGGGGTTGGGGGAGTCAGATGTAGGGCCTTGCCGTTTAGCAGCCTGGTGTGTAAATCTACCACGCCCCCAATGCTCGTAGATCCCGGAGGAGCTGCTTGTTCTCCGTTCTTTTTTCTCGTGTTCCTTAAACAGTCATTTTAATTGCCTTATAGTCGCTGATTCTTCTCTCAGTTCAAATCTGCTGTTGAACTCTAGTGAGTTTACAATTTCAAATTTTATATTTCCCAACTCTTCAATTTCCATTTGGTTCCTTTTTATAATTTCCATCTCTTAATTGTTATTACCTGAGCTAGTTAGTTTATTGTGCCACCCTGGCCGATAAACACATGTGGGGTTAAATGAAGTGGGAGGGATAAATGGCTCAGTGAACCTCCCCTTTCTAGTTCTCGGGTCTCTTGCTTTGTGATGGTCGCACCAGGGTGCAGCTGC